TCGAGAAACACAGAAGAACATGAAGACCCTAAGAATGAACAACAGGTGCAAGTGCAGAAACTATGCCATGATTTCGTTTTTCAGAGAAGGGATCAATTGGGAGCCTCTTGACATTGCAAATAATCTCTAATGTGTTTGGAAATGACTTCCGTCCAAAAATAACAAGACAGACAAAGTGGTCACCATAACAACCCTGCACCATATTTAAAAACAGCTTGAAATATTTTCATGCCTGTTCTGTCAAATCATTTTAAATATGAAGAGAAATTTGGATATGGAATTCTCAATGGCGACAGAGACATGAACCAATCGACCAAAGTCTGGCATGAAACTCAAGCTGAAAAGAATATGAGACAGGTACCCAATATAAATTATTCAAAGTACGGCAGTGACTAAGCAGAAACTGAAACAGAGAGGAAGGAGTTATGCATGAAAGTCCAGGAAGGAATTATAGAGACGTGGCACTCCTGTCGGACAGCAAAGCAGCCAGTAACTCTTACCAAACCATATCAAACAGTATCACCACTCATATTGTTAAGAAAGTCAAGTGTCACTTGCGGTCATGAGATTTCTGGGTCACTGCTGCCTAGGCATTTTCAATGTGTTGCAGTCCTTGATATATTTTACGTTAAATCTGAAATGTAACTAAATTTTACCACTGCACTATTACCCGAAGAGATGTAAAATAAACTGTAAAATAAATTATATATTTTTATAAATGATTTCCAACACATTTATTATTTCTTATCATACCTATTCAAGTTTATATATATATATTATATATATATATATATATATATATATATATATAGTATCTAGTATAGTATAATGCATTACAGCGCAAAATTGGTTGTGTTCATGCTGTAATGCACTATATTTTTTTGAAGCCATAACCATAAAAAAGCATTTTAAAGTCATTATAAACTAAAACATACAACTGATTATATGTATAAAACGAACAATGGAAGCATTGTAAACATCTTTATGTGGCTTGTTTTGCAGTCTGCTTATACAACTTTTAGTAATATTTTAACATATTATGTTTTGATGACAAATGTGCAAAATCCCATTTTTTTTCACTTTAGTATGTCAGCCCCCCACCCATTTAATGTTATATAAGCAACTATAATCAAATCCTTGTGTCCCGGTTGTAATTGCTCTAAGTCAAAATGGTCTCTTCATGCATTTCCTGACCTTGCCTGGGTGTGGAGTCAGGCTTATTAAGTGGAGCAATTCAACACAGCTTATCTGGGTGTGTGTCTCTTCCTGATACAGAAGTGCCTTCCAGACAGGGTCATTATCCTTTATGCCAAGAAAAGCTTATTTCAGGCATTAGTTGTTATTTTTTAATTCATTACTAAGGTAATCATGGAAACAATCTAATTAAACAAGATGCTAATTAAACAAGACAAGGCAAGTTATCCATTTTCCAAACTGAGGCACCGATCCAAAAGTAGTATTCTGAACTACTCATTAAATAAACTCATTATAATATGCAAAACTGTTCTCCACTCGCAGCAGTGGGTGTTTACTTCCAAGTCTTCAGTGCGACACGCCCATAAAAACCGACTGTTTTTTAGGTAGGCTCACAACCAGGGTACAAAATAGCCTATTACTTGTTCATTTTGATGTTTTTGGATGCAAAAACCAAGCGAACGTTATAAGTTGACCTCAGACAACAATATAATAACATTTAAAAAGCCAGTTCATGACCCCTTTAAAGGACAACTCAAAAATAAGCACAAAAAATGAACCTTTGTTCTAACAACACATTGGTACCTAGTCAATCATTCTCTGAGATTTGTTTTCATAATCGAATGGAAAGAGTTTTATCTCTAAAAACTGTTTAACAAATTCGAATCGTAAACTAATACCTTCTGGTTATGTAATCCGTATGAAAGGTGCAGTTCTCTCTAAATGTGCATCCGGAGATTATGTTTTTAGCTCGTTATTTTTTTCAGACACATTTATAATAACTCACCTATACAGCACTGCAGGAAAAATATCATAAATATCCAGGTTCTAATTTGGCCTTAGAAAACCAGTAAAATCTACATTTTTCCCATATTAATTTGTGAATATTTTAAATGTTTTAAAGGGACAAAAAGTCATAAACAAATATCTGAAAATTCGTTGAGATGGATATAGCGCAGCATTGGTGTGGACAAACTAAAATGTTGGTGTTCAACTTTGCATTTTAAAAATACAACAACCGTTCATTTTTCATTTTGCAACGACCGTTTGGACATAATACAAGATAGAGTTCTTTATTAAATTCATTTGTAAAAAAAAGAAACAATAATTACAGGAATAGCCTCTCTAAACCTCAAAGAAATGCCATCAAGACATCGAAGCAGAAATAAGGGAGAAACACCCAGGAACTCCGTGTCTTTCCCTGCCATTAATGCTTGGATAACACACCACATCTCCTTCCATTAATAATAATAATAATAATAATAATTCGTTACATTTATATAGCGCTTTTCTGGACACTCAAAGCGCTTCACATAGAAGGGGGGGATCTCCTCAACCACCACCAATGTGCAGCATCCACCTGGATGATGCGACGGCAGCCATATTGCGCCAGAACGCTCACCACACACCAGCTTACTGGTGGAGAGGAGACAGTGATGAAGCCAATTGGTGTATGTGGGGATGAATAATTAATAATAATAATGTCGAGTGAGGTGCATGGCTGTGAAATAGGTTATAAACCTACCAAAGTCCGTTGCCATGATTTTTGGAATGACTTCGCGAGAGGAAAAAAAAAAGACGTTTTAGCCTCATAACATCGGTTAATGGAAACACTGTCATTTAGCAATAGTTTTTTATCGACATTTGGAAAATATCGCAAAAGTTTTGCGCAAATCTGTAATGGAAATGTCTGTAATGGTCTGGCTCTAGCAGCAACCCATAGCGGAGGGACCAGATGGACAGCTATCCATTGAGTAAGTACACTAGACAAGTTAAATAATCTTTGTAATAGATTGAACTGTTTTAAAGGAACACTCCGACTTTTTGGGACTTTAGCCTATTCACCTTACCCCCCAGAGTTAGATAAGTCCATACATACCTTTTTCATCTCCGTGCGTGCTATAAGTCTGTTTGACGCACCCACCGCTAGCCTAGCTTAGCACAAAGACTGGATGTGAATGGTTGCAGCTTTCATACTAATCCAAATGAGTGGCGAAATAACGCAAACGTTTTCCTATTTACATGTTGTGATTTGTATAGTCACAGAATGTACAAATAACAAAGTCAAATGAGACACAGGCATCTTTTAACCGTATAAAACCTGGGAACTATTCTCTGAAGGCGAAGCACTGCTACTTTGACGGAGTAATAACCATATCACCTGAGACACGCCGTGGTGAGGAGCGGAGAGTTCGCTCAGTGTTTGGGTAACAGAGTCAGCAATTTATAAATAGTAAAAGCGTAGTTTAGAGTCATGGGTTTTCGCTCTATTGTAAATAGCTGCGACAGTAAACAGGGGAGGTAACATGTTTCACAGAATTCCAACTAAAAACGCTGACTGGATGAAGAAATGGCTAACTTACTCTGGATATTTATCCAAACACACCTAAATAGATTATCAAGGGACATTATGTTTGCTCGGTACATTTCAATGGACGACTATTTAAAAAAAAATGGAATTTGCCACACGGACCATAATGTGCTGAAGGATACGGCCATCCCATCTATAGCACAGACAGGACAAGTGGATCACCTGCGGCTGAGGTAAGTGTTCCGTTATGTTTTTTGATGACTACTGTAACAGTGCCATTAGCCAGAGCTAATGTAACGTTAGTGACACTATTATATGATTAGGGTATGAATATGTTTTTATCTTGATGCGGCGCAGACGCGCTTGGAAAAAAAACGAGCGGCGCGTTGAACTTGCACCCTGCGCGCGGCGCGCCTAGTAGCCTAAATTTGAAATAACCATGGAAATAACGAACTTGAGCGTGCAAAAGGGTACGATAGGCTGTGAGTTCATTTTGCAAAAACAATTTGTGCTATTACTTTCCCCTTATTCTATCCTATAGTAATGCAATTATACTGTATATTATATGCTGTTGAATACATTTGGTTCAGCTAATAAATTGCATTTAAAATATATTGATTCCTGTAATAATAATTATTTATTCATGTGATATTTATAAATCTGGGTCCGTTTTTGGTTGGAAATCAATGAAACATGGTACTGTATTACCTGGTCTCCCCTGTTTATTGTCACAGCTCATACAATAAAGCAAACACCCATGATAAACTATGCTTTTCTATATAACGTTAGTAATTGCTGACTCTTTACTCCAAACACTGAGCGAACTCTCTGCTCCTCGTCACGGTGCGTCTCAGGTGATGGTTATCACTCTGCCCAAGTAGCAGTGCTTCGCCTTCAGAAAATATAGTATTTATACGGTTAAAAGATGTCTGTGTCTCATATGGCCTTGATATTTGCACACTCTGTGACTATACAAACCACAACATGTAAATAGGAAAACGTTTGCGTGATTTTGTCACTCATTTGGATTAGTATGAAAGCTGCAACCATTCACATCCAGTCTTTGTGCTAAGCTAGGCTAGTGGTGGGTGCGTCAAACAGACTTATAGCACGCACAGAGATGAAAAAGGTATGTATGGACTTATCTAACTCTGGGGGGTAAGGTGAATAGGCTAAAGTCCCAAAAAGTCGGAGTGTTCCTTTAAGCTATATTGTCGGTATTGAATTAATTTAAATTGAAATTTTTCTTGCGTCATGCATCAGTGGATTTTTCAACTGAGTGGTTTCTCCATCAAAATAATGCCCTAGAATTTGTGCAAAAAAGGTATCTTGTCTTGCGTTATGGATCCTCCTTAGCATGGGAAGCAATGCCTTAAAATCCTACCTAAGGTAGCACACTAGCTTTTGGAACAGATTGAGAGTCTTAATATAAATGTGGTATCCAAAAGTCCTGAGTGTGACATACTGTAATGAGCAGGTATGGACAAGTACTCACTGGAACGTCTATTTTGATGAGGGCGATGTCTGCTTTCTCATCCACGTCTTTGATTTTGGCGTCATAGGTGGCACCAGTCTTTAGCTCAACCTTCACCCGATGTTTGTTGGCAACGACATGAGCGTTGGTTACAATCAGACCATCTTCAGACACCACGAAACCAGAGCCGCTGGCCACCGCCACTTCCCGCTTGGAGAACACCATTCTAAAAAAGATTACTGATATATTAAAGATATATTGATGAGAAATGTCTCGGTTACATATGTAACCCTCGTTCCCTGAGTAGGGAACAAATGACGACAATTGGGGTTTCGCTTAGAAAGCCTATCATCTTCGAAATCTTACAAAACGAGTCAATGGCAAAGAAATGTTATGCGTCTTTGGAATTTGCATTGTGTATCTCCGCCTTACCTCATGGGTATAAAAAGGAGAACACGGCAATATTGCTCATATGTTTCTTCACTGAAGAGCCAAAACTGATCTCAGGCAATCCTCGCAACACAGCAAAAGGTGGCAGGAAGACGGAACGTCTCCATTCCCTACTCAGGAAACGAGGGTTACATAGGTAACCGAGATGTTCCCTTTCGTTGTCACTCCGAGTTCCGTCGGATGACGACAGATGGAGTTACCAGTCTAATCATGCCACCTTCACAGCTGTCTTCCAGTGCCCTGTGTAAATCTAAGATCCCTGTTGTGAGACTGGCACGGACGAAGGACTCCTAATTAGCACATAAATACCAAGGTACACTGTGGAGCATATCACATAGTTTAGAGGAAATATGCAATTACTGTCATCCGGGGGGTGGGTGGGAGATATATTCCAAGGAGAGGCTGAAGCCGTGAGAGCTTGTCAGCTGCACAGTTCAGGACTCCTGGAACATAAATGGCTTGAAGCAACCTCAGACACTTCTGACTCCATAAGTGGAGGTGGCGGGTCAGTTGCGACATATGGCGGGAGCGTAGACCACCTTGTCGGTTGATGTACGCAACTGTCGCGGTATTGTCTGATCGGACTAGTACGTGCTGACCTTTGAGCAGCACATAGAAGCGGTGCAGGGTGAGACGTACTGCCAGAAACTCGAGGCAATTGACATGCCATATGCGCTGGAGTCCTTTCCAGGAGTCCGCGGCAGCATGTCCATTTCACATGGCGCCCCAGCCTGTGGTGGAGGCATCTGTGGAGAAAACAGCATGCCTGGAAACTCATTCTAAGGGCACTCCTGCTCGTGGAAAACTGAGGTTCGTTCACGGAGTGAAGGTCTGACGGCAGACCGGAATCACTGGGACTCGGAGCGTGACTTGATGCCATGCCCACCTCGGGACTCGATCGCGAAGCCACTGCTGAAGAGGTCTCATATGAAGCAATCCGAGCGGCGTGCTAAAGATGCTATTCAGTGGAACCGCCTTCTTGTCCTCGAACTGTCTCAGGCAAGTCAGCAGTGACTGTGTGCGCTCACTTGTAAGCTGTGCACACATGGTGACCAAGTCGATCTCCATTCCGAGAAAATAGATCCTCTGCACGGGGCAATGTTTGCTCTTTTCCCAGTTGCCCTGAAGGCCCAGACGAGCAAGGTGCCGGAGCACTAGGTCCCTGTGTTCAAAAACCTGGTCTCGAGAGTGAGCTACTGTAGGATCAGCCAGTCTTCGAGATAATTTAGGATGCGAACCCCGTGTAGCCCGTGTAGAGGTCCTCCTTTTTATACCCAAGAGGTAAGGCGAAGATATGCTATGCAAATTCCACAGACCCATGGCATTTCTTTGCCATTGGCTCGTTTTGTAAGAGTCGAAGTTGATAGGCTTTCTAAGCGAAATCCCATTCGTCGTCAACAAACAGAACCCTCTTACTTTCCACTGAGCAACAGTAAAGAATTACCGTCACTCATCATCTTTAATTTAACTATATTTTCAAGATAGACCTGAGAGCAAGGAAGAATGTCCTCTGACAAATGATTTAAAACATAATGGTTGTTCTCCAGATTTTTCACCGCACTGCATGATTTCAACAGTCTAAAATTGAGGTTGGGTGTATTCTACATTCCACAAATTGAGTCTTATGCAATGATGAAGATATCCTGATGTTTGAGAGAGAGATCCAATCAATTAATGTCTACAATGAGGTGGAAAAATAAAGTCAGATAGTTGTTATTACAATAATACATAGAATAATAATGTTATTCTGTATATTGAGGATAAAACAATGCGGGACATCCCATAACCATATAATTATTATGAGACGTCAACTCGCACACTATATGATTTAGCCATGAGTAACATATTCCTGGAACAACATTGTTGTCAATCAATCTTAGATCAACCTACTACAAAAATAAGAGATTAATAACTGGTTGATAAGAATGTTGTTTTGGGACCAATATGGATATAATCACACTTGGAAGAAGTCTTCTGATATTGATGATAGAGGGCTATAAAAGGACAAAAATAAAGAGGAAGTACAGTATCTATTTTTTCCCAGTGTTGACTCATAAAGGCAGAGAAAAATTAAGAAGATCCACAAAATTGAAATTTCAGCTTTAAAAATAAAGGTTCCAGGAACCATTTACCCCCAAATAACCTTTCAAAGTTATAAAAAGAAACATTTTTCTTAGGATGAAGAATAATCTTTTAATAATCTAAAGAATCTTTTTCCACAATTCATTTTCCATGGATAAATAAATTATCTTTATGGAGTCATAGATGCCAATAAAGAACCATTTTAAGGTTGTTCTGTTAAAGGGCATGTTAAAACTCTGGTACTTAGGCCCCGTGTGGATAGTGTGGACTATTGCGTTTTTGTTTAAAAACGGAGAATTAAAACGAATACGATCTCCGTCCACACCAGCGTTTTGTCTGCGTATTAGAATTGATCTCCGTCCACATTAAAACGACTGAAAACGCAGATCACGTGACCATTCACCAACACTGGGCATGCGCGCGCCGGTGTAAACAGTGGTTGGCGAATCAGGGAAGGATAAGTCATGACTGATAACACCCAATCATAGAGCTGAGCGGGAGCTTCCGCGTCATCGTTTGTAAACTCCTCCGTTTTGTCTCGTCCACACTAAAACGCCCTCCGGAGATTCAAAACGCAAAACGCAGCTGCAGCGTTTCTAAACTTCTCCGTTTTAGGTCTTCGTTTTTCCCGTTTTAGTGTGGACGGGAGGTGCAAACGTAGCAAAAGGTCTCCGTTTTTAAACGAAAACGCAGTAGTGTGGACGGGGCCTTAGTGTAGTCTGGTTAGTGTGGTTCATTTGACTAAGTGTGAACACTGCCATCCAAACCCTCATGGGCTTCCAAATGAAGTCTGGTGTGGTTTGACAGAAATGTAAATGCAAGACAGACCAAAGACATATAATCAAAGCAAAAACAAGATGCGACCCTAAAAAAGCAGCAGAACTTTGTTTGTGTGCAATGGAGGTTAGTTTAATTTGTATCTTTAGGTTCAGTGTTAAAAATGACAGTGTGAAGGCTAAGAGAACCAGGATTAAATGTATCATTTTATTTTTTGGCCTGGGCAAAAAAGACCAAGAGAATGGAACTACAAGTGTGAACACACCCAAAAATAGTCCTGATAAATATGTCTTCTTGGAGACATGAGATCGTTGATTGATGGAGTGTGTGATTCAAGATACATACTTGCGGAACAGCTCAATGTGAACCACAGCTGGAGCGATCTTCTCCACCACATCAGCGATGAAGTTATATCTGTGCCGGAGACTATCTGGATTGTCCTCTTGGCCTAGAGAACACATGGCAAAAAAACAGTCAGATTATATGGTACAGCAAATAGGCTGTATTTAATTCAATCCAATTATTTTTCAACAAAATTGAAGATAGTTCTAATTCTAATCATTAGTTATTCCAGGACTTGATTGTGGATTGCGCCAGTGGTGTCTGGAAGTTGAAACCAACGGTCCTCGGTGCATGGATCTCAATCCGTTCCTGGGGCAAGGCCCAGTGTAAGTTAGGGGAAGAAGGCCTCCCCTCGTTCCAATTGCCGTCACATTCCAGGGACTGTAGGGCATTGGGTCCCCCTCTGTCCGTTCGCCGCATATTTAAGTGTGGTTTAAGCACAAGTTGCACCACCAGTTTCTCCAGGATGACACTGTAGAACAGGGGTGCCCAATCCTGCTCCTGGCGATCGACTGTCCTGCACAGTTCATCTCCAACCCTAATCAAACACACCTGAATGTGATCCTAAAGACCTTAATTGGCTACATCAGGTGTGTTTGATTAGGGTTTGAGATGAACTGTGCAGGACAGTCGATCGCCAGGAGCAGGATTGGGCACCCCGGCTGTAGAATGTCAGCCTACTAAAACCACACGCTTACATTTTGTGGCCAATTTGTATGGGTGTAACAATTCCCTCGTCATGATTCGATACATATACACAATACTGAACTCACAATACGATATTATTGTGCGATATTCCAAGATATATGGTAAAAGATTAACAAAATATTATCAAAATGTTAAATTTGGTATTACAAATTGAAATCAATGGAAATTAATTTGAATTGAATAGGCTTGGTGCTGGTAACCCAATGCAGAGGACAATGGTGACACCAAAATAAAAATATTTTATTTTAAATTTTTACTTTTCGTTTCAGCAACAGCTGAACGCTAAAAAGTTGATTTTAGTAATTCAAGTAGAAAGGTATTCATGAAATATACAGTTATACGTTGTAAAACATACAGGCATCCCATCATACAAGAAACGCCATCACAGTATTTTTACAGTGCATTTCTGGCAACCAAAGTTGCCATCTTTTCACCTTAAATGTAACGGGACATGTTTTACCATGTACCGAAATAATCGATTTGAACTGAAATTATTTCATTATATGAGAGGAAAGAGAGATTAGTGTGCTGCGGAAAACATAGCTAAAAAAACTAGCACAGGAGACAACCGTCTCTTAGAGTTTTAGGTTCATTATACAAAAACATTTGACCACAGACAGAATTCTATGATTTCTCACATAGGAACTACAGAGAGCTACAGTATATAGGAGATAGGAAACACCAGCAGGCCTAATGCTGCTTATAAAAAAGCTAAATGAATAAGATGATTGTGATTTTATAGGAAAGGTCAACTTGTCTAGGCAATGATGCATCTTTAAATTCATAGGAAGTTAGAAAGTGTTTATAAAACTTGGGTCTGAGTCAAACCCTTTTATAACTTTGCACATGTAACACTATTTTTCACCTTGTATAACCCTCCTTTCACAACATCTGCAGGCACGCACATCTGCACTGCCCCCTTGCCCATGTTAGGTAGTGTGATATTGGTTCCTTCCCTGAGGGTCTGTGTACAGCTCTATTTGAATTCCCCTGTGATAAATTTCTCCTTGACCCAAAACAAAAATAGTTTATGACCTTTTTTCTTTTCTTTATGGGAGATGCTTGACTATTTGGGTTATAAAAGCGAGTAAAACTATAATGCAACACAGATGGCTAAAACGACATTGCACGCTTGCCAAACCAAACACCGCCTTCAACATTAGTGTGGAATTAAAAAATCATTTATCTGCTGTCTTTCTGCTATTATGAATTATATCAGTCTTACTTTATGACTTTTCTTAATGACACTTGCCAACTTCTGAGAAAACCCAAGTCTTCTAAGTTGAAAATTGGTTGTAAATAGGAATTATATTTTACTGTTGTAGAAACACGCTGCTATAAAAAAAAAATAAAAAAAAATGTTGGCTTATATAACTGATTGCCATTCCCTCCAGCACATCCCATCATGACTCTGGAATCTTGATAATGGAATTGTTTTTCCTCCCTCATAATATGGCTCCACATCTGAAGAGGGGTTAGCATGAATAAAGTGAGAGAACATTTCATTTGTTATATCATAGTTGGCACAAAATGTAACACATTTATGCAACCCAAATACGAGTCATGTTTTATGTGAAAAGTACAAATAATGATTCTATATGCTTCAGGGACACTGGGAAAGGTCAGGAAATGGCTACATGACTTCTGCTCTTTGCAAGTGATACTTTAACAAACTGAAAAGAAAATCTTGCAGGGTTCATAACATTTCATTACATTTCACTGTGAAGATCTAAACATATTTAGATATACAGGAAATAGCAATGGAAGAAGATTTTGATATATCTAAATATGTTTAGTGAAAGGTAATACTTCCGAAATCTTACACACGCAAGCACTTTCGATGCATGTGCAGACCGAAGCGCCCGTGCAGGCAGATCAGTTGGATGTGGCTGTGGTTACACAAGGTAAAAACGATAAAAATACTGTTCGTTTTCTCACACAAACCGCTCGTTTCGTGTCTTAGGCCATCAATGTGTACTTGCATTTACGAGCCATTAAATCATGTTTAATTTTGACTTCTCTGTGCATGCTCTTCGAGGTGGACCTAAACCTGCATTATATGACTGAAAGACAAGAACAGTTTGGCCGAAAAATATCAAAATTCAAAAAAATACTGTGGAAACAAAGACACCTATATCTTGGATGCCCTTGAGGTAACCTAAAACATATCAAAAATTAATTTCAAAGTGAACTATCCCTTTAAAATGTACTTTTAAACATTTTACATTATTACAGTGCACTTTTTAAGTGTGTTGAGGATAGTTATAAAAATGAAGAATTGTATGATAAATACATTTATGTCTTATCTGTGATTTGATAATATGGTTTATGTCTGTTATTTCTGTTTTGGCAAGTAATTGTACTCTTTCTATGTGCAACAGATACCGCTTCTTCACAATAAACCTATGTGTCATTTTATGTTAATGTCTAAACGCACATTTATCTTTGATGATAAATCATTTATCTCTGATGGCTGAGGAGTTTTCAAATGTTAACTTTATATCATTCACTGCATATATGCTTTCCACTCACTGACCTCGCGAAATATTAGATGATATGGTTACACTTTATTTTGATTGTCCACTTTAGACATTCTACTAACTATAAGTAACTTTTCAATGTCAACTAACTCTCATTAGAGTATTAGTAGTAGAATGAAGTTACTTATAGTCAGCATGTCTGTTGGGGGACCAACACAATAAAGTATTAGCAAATATTAAGCAGACTCTACTAATACTCTAATGACAGTCAGTTGTCATGTAGCAGCAAAGTTACGTATAGTTAGTAGAATGTCTAAAGTGGACTATTGAAATAAAGTGTTACCAATTAGATTATCTAAATGAGATCAGTGTTCCATGTTTCAAATCCACAGGTCCATTCCAACATTGCAAATAATGTATTATACAGAGTTTCCCTTTTTAAATATGACTTCTAATTGTCATTTATTCTCGAAACTCGTAATTATAATATTACTCGACACGAAGGGCACATAATACAAAACCCTTTTGAAATGCAATGCAATTAATTGTTTTGAATGTGTATTTCAAATCTTAAAGCTATATATTTTTTAAATGTACTTGCAGATTAAAAAAAACATGGGAACTTAAAGAGAGTACACTTGGGTTAATGGGTTTTACGAGTCAATCATTTTTTTGCAAATACTGTACTATGAAAATGAAAGAATAGAGCAATAAACAGAATCCTGCCAGTGTGGAGATTCAAAATTCAGAAATTCCTGGTGGCCAGTTCTTTTTATGAATGGGGAAACGAATCGGTTACCTAACGTAACCTCGGTTCTCTCTAGATGAGGGAACGAGTATTGCGTAAGCTAGCTTACGCTACGGGAAAGATTCATCTTTGCTGAGAAGTTGAAGCCAAAAAATTATTCCATAATTTTGTAATCATTGTCAACGCAGTCTCTTCTGAGGCAGACCATGAGCGGGCTAGCTAGCGGCTCATTGGTTCGCTCAGAGAGAATGCACGAACCTATGGGAGAGCGGCGCTGAGTCCGCGGCCAATGAGCGGACGGCGCTCGCTTACTGCGTCACAGCCCGCCAAAAGGGGCGTGGCTACAGTGTATAAAGGTCGCTCTCCCAGCTCGTTCGTTGATTCTGTAGCATGAAGCGAAACGCTAGTGGCGCAAGCACGGCCGGGAACGCAATACTCGTTCCCTCATCTAGAGAGAACCGAGGTTACGTTAGGTAACCGATTCGTTCTCTTACGAGAGGTTCTCTCGTATTGCGTAAGCTAGCTTACGCTACGGGAACACCTGGTCAACGCCGTGCGCGCTAAGTAACCACTAAGCATCCCAGGGGAACACCGGGGGAATCTATAAGTGGATGAAGATAATACGGCGGCCAGCATAGCGGCCGTTACTATCTAGTGCAAAAACGCCCAAGGCGGCCGGCGAAGGCGGGCCGTGATGTGTAGGCTAATGCATAAGCACATAGGGGAACACAAGGGGTGAGCCGGTTGTGATGGAACTCCCGATAGTGCGGCTTCTATAGGAGGGCTGTGAGTACTAGACCGCCAGAATTTTAGCCTGTAAGGCTGGAACTTCCAAGTTGTAAAATCTGACAAAGGTGGAGGGGGAGGCCCATCCCGCAGCCACACAAATGTCGTGGATGGAAATCCCGCAGGACCATGCCCACGATGAGGCCATGCCTCTGGTGGAATGAGCCCTGATGCCCAGAGGGCAAGGCAGGTCTTAAGCGGCATAAGCAGAGGCAATCGCGTCTACTATCCACCTGGATAGGGTCTGTTTCGAGGCGGCTAGTCCCTTAGTGCGGCCACCGAACGACACAAACAGCTGCTCCGAGCGTCTGAACGCGGCAACGCGTGTAGTGTACACTCTGATAGCCCGAACCGGGCAGAGGCGGTCAGCGTCACGTTCGCTAT